CAGGTTGGGAGAGACACAGCAGCTGAAGAGGAAACCAACAGGGAGGTGAAAGGGCGCCAACAGGTTGGGAGAGCACGCAGCAGCTGATGAGGGAACCAGCAGGGGGAGAGGAGCTGAGCTGGAGGGATGGCTCAGAGACACTTCCAGCGAAAACAGTGGAGAGGTTTCAGGACCTCCTGTAAGAACACCCACTCCTCGCCGGAAACTGTCACGCAGAGATTCCAGAAGACGTGTTTCCGTTAAGGAGCTTTTATGTTGGAAGCGATTACGAAAGCAACCACTGTCGGAATCTGCTAGTGACTAGAGTAGCCATGTCTGAGGGGCTCTGTCACAGACAGAGGTTTGTGGACTTGAACAAACTCTGAGGGGATACGATTTTACGCACAAGCAGCTCATCATCCCATCACAATAGCCAACCAGTTCAGAGTTAGGGCAATGCTTTCTGGACTAGTTACATGGGTATCCCTGCCAAGAAAACTCCATGGACAAAGACAACAGCGGAACGTCTTTAGGAGAAGAAAAGGCTCATGGGTAAACCTGACACAAATTTGGAGTGGAGACCTTAGGCGGTTGGATGGCGCCTTGTACAGGTGAAACTCAGAAAATTAGAATATCGTGGAAAAGTTCATTTATTTCAGTAATTCAACTGAAAAGGTGAAACTAATATATGAGATAAACTCATGACATGCAAAGCGAGATATGTCAAGCCTTTATTTGTTATAATTGTGATGATCATGGCGTACAGCTGATGACATGGCTCCCCAAATCCCTTTTCTGATGAGAGCAGCTTTTGCATCTCATTTGGAAACCAAGGACCCAGAGTCTGGAGGAAGAATGGGGAGGCACACAAATTACTGAAATAAATTAACTTTTCCACGATATTCTAATTTTCCGAGTTTTACCTGTATGTCTCCTTCTGGCAACTCCTGCAGCCAGGCTAGTGCCCAACGTATTGCCCTGTTTTCCTTTGGGCCACATCAGTGAGGCTGAGAGGGGGTGGGTCTTGTCATCTGGGCAGCACAAGGCCCCCATACACCCTGCCCAGTCTTGCGCCCCGGAGAGCTCCCTTCAGCGCTGTTAACACAGCAGTTTGACTTCATCCCTGGAAACGCACTTAATTGTCTCTTGAAACAGATGGATGCCAATGATGACAATAAAGTCCCAATCAGAATTGGAACACACACACACACACACACACACTTAATTAATTAATTAATGAAGCAAAGAAAAGGCATTACACATTTATCATAGCATATAGTTATGACTAAGTCTGTAACTATATATATAGTCTATACACAATGTGAAGCAAAAAAACTTCAAAGCAGAGGGGTTTTTTGGGGGGAAACAGGAGGGATTTGCAAATTTCATTCCAGTCCCGGAGTTTAGAGGGTTTTCCCTTTAACACAGACACATATTCAGCATGGCTTTTCTCCCCAAGGCCTCCTGGCAGGGTGCAGCGTTTGTGGGGCTTAACTATTGTGTCAAAATAAACAGCTGACAATTCTCAGTGGAAAGTTCCCAAAATGCTCTGAGTCAGCCAGCCAGCATGAGGGCCAGAACTGAGCTTATCGTGACAATGGGGCTTCTTTTATTCTGCATTTCCTTGAAGCACAATTGACCGAAGAAGGCATCACTTATGGAAGAAGCAAGGCCTATGCAAGCTGCTCACCTAAATCAGGATATTGTACAAGGAAATCCTGTCACTATCCTTCTTTTACTCACTTCCTACTAACATCCTCTTAATAACATCCTTAGAAAATCAGGGTGGGCGGTTATTTCTCCTCTCATAATGCTAGAACTCAGGACCATTCAATGAAGTTGAATGTTGGAAGATTAAGGAGGAGCAAAAGGAAGTCCTCCTTCTTTCACTCAGTGCATAGTTGAACTGATGGTCACCAACTTGAAGGCTTGAAAAAGGGCTTAGGCAAATTCAGGAAGGATACGCCAGGCCTCTTAATAGCAGCTGCCTCCTGTTCAACAAATGGGGAGGAATAGCTGCAGTTGCACTCCGGTCCTGCTTGCAGGCTTGTCTCAGGAAATCTTTGTTGACCACAGTGGGAGTAAGATGCTGGACTATGATGGGTCTTTGGTTTGATCCAGCAGCACATTCTTGTGGAGATGAAATTAATGAAGCAAAGGCTGTAGCTGCACATTACACATTTAGCATAGCATACAGTTATGACTAAATCTATAACTATACACATAGTTTATACACAATGTGAAGCAAAAACTTCAAAGCAGAGGGTTTTTTGGGGGGAAACTATGGACTATGCTGTGAAATGAGGTGGTAGCGTCCTGCAAACATTTATTTTTATTATTCTATTATTTATTAAATTGGTATTTCATCCTTCATCCGAAGATCACAGGGTGGTTCACAATATAAAAATGCAAAATGAGAACACAAAATGCACAATGAAACAAACACAAACCAGTAGCGCTGTCCCGCAAACACATATTATTTATTAAATTTGAGTAGAATGAACAGTATCTCTTCAGACTCAAGTAGTGGAAGGATTACCATTTTTTAAACTCATGGCTATTTTAAAAAGTCAAATAAATCAGTAAAACAAACCTTCTGCTAAGTTGAAATCTAGCAAAGAGTAGATTGCGCTAGAACTCTCTCCCGCCCCCCATACATATCCGGTGTGCTTGTTTTATTATGTGATGTTTGTTTTTATGTGGGGAGCATTCCAAAAACTACATCTTTCCTCTATAGGCTGCCTGAAGTGTCTGTGTCTGCTTTACCATCACTTCAGGATTCTGCCACATGTGTAGATCTGGCATGCATGACACCTTGCACTTAACTGCAGCTGCCAGGTTTGTCAAAAAAAGTCCCTCCCTGCATGCTAAAGGCTAACCAGTTTGGCTGTTCTTGAGAGACGATTCCATATGAACAACGCTTATGTCCCTGTGGAGATGTCAGCACCGAATCAGTGGCGCATGCCCTCCTGGCATGCACTCTTTACAAAGACCTGAGGAATGAGATTATCACCCCTCTTTTGTTGTCCATTCCGGGTCGCCCAACCACTGCCACAGTGTCTTTTCTCATGGCGGATCAGGAGGAGCAGATGATAGCAAGGGTTGTGAGGTTTTTAGCTGGGG